TGCACTGAAAAAGCTTCCTCCAGCAGATGGAGGTTTGTTCCGGAGCATTTGGTGTCCTCAATTACTAATTAATCTGACCTCTGAAAAGTGAACAGCAAAGACAATTAGAAAACAACTGTGGATGGCAACAAACTCCACCATCTGGATCTTTCAGCTCAGATGTTTGTGTCACGTGTTCTTCTTTGCGCTAAACTGGGTTTTATTCCTCTAAAGCAACGTGTGTGATTTAATTACACAATTTAGCCCATTAAAGGATTCGTTCACTTCCAAAATGAAAGTGCACAGATTATTTACTCACCCTCCTGTCATCCAAGATGTTCGTTTCTTTCTTTGATCAGTTGAAAATAAACTATGAAATTATTGTTTGTTCAATATAGTGGACTGCTATGGGGCTCAGTGGTTTGTACTTCCGGAATGGGGTTTCCAGTTCAGATTCAAATGACTCTAAATCAGGGGTGCTCAACCCTGTTCCTGGAGATCTACCTTCCTGCAGATTTCAGTCGCAACCCTTATCAAACACACCTGTTTGTAATTATCAAGTGCTGTTCAGGTCCTAATTAATTGGTTCAGGTGTGTTTGATCGGGGTTGGAGCTAAACTCTGTAGGAAGGTACATCTCCAGGAACAGGGTTGAGCACCCCTGCTCTAAATGATCCCAGCAGACAAGTAAAGTTTAATTTTAAACTAATTTCGAGAGGAGCATGTGCTCATGATTGACCCAGCTGGTCCACATTAGCTAATTATGATCCTCCAATCAAAGGATCCCAAATCACTATATATATACTCATTTCCTTTCTACAACTATCTTCGTCTGGAAGAAACCCCCCTCCTCCCCTTCTTCCTCCTTTATCCAGAATGGGCGGCACGGTGGCCCAGTTACTAGCACTGTTGCCTCACAGCAAGAATACCAATGGTGTTGGGTCCTCGCTGAGCCATCTGGTATTTCTGTGTGGAGTTTGCATGTTCTCCCCGTGTCCGCATGGGTTTCCCCCGGGTTCCCCGGTTTCCTCCCACCATCCAAATGTGCTCTATATTATAAATAAAACAAGCCTAAACCTTTTTTATAATGTCTTACTCTCAGGAAGTTCGCCTTGGCCTCAGCAGCGGGGGAGTTTGAGATAGACCTGAGCTCAATCTCCACTCGCCCTGCAAAAGGAGGGGAGCCCTGGGCTCGAGGATCCCTTGAGCTCAGGGCTCTCTCCCGGGACAGCATGCCAAACAAGCTATGCATAAATCATGAGCTAAGTGTGAACTCTTGAAATAAGATTCTTACTACTTTTTTGTTGGAGAGAATAAAAGATTGAAGACTAATTATTTTATTCATCCACTCATTCATTCATTCTCTTTTTGGCGTAGTCCCTTTATTAATCTGAGGTTGCCACCGCAATATAAACTTATCCAGCGTATGTTTTAACCAGCAGATGCCCTTTCAGCTGCAACCCATCACTGGGAAATATCCATACACACACTCACACACTATGGGCAATTTAGCTTACCCAATTCACCTATACCACATCTTTGTACTTGTGGGGGTAACAGGAAGAAACCCACGCCAACACGGGAAGAACAAGAAAACTCCACACAGAAACACCAACTGACCCAGTTGATGCTCGAACCAGCGACCTTCTTGCTGTGAGGTGAACGCACACACCGTGCCACCGTGCTGCCTCTAATTCTTTTATTTACATTTGAAAGTTGAGTGCTATATAAGTTCACCACATGGACAAATGTATGCTGTACATGCTTTCCCTAAAACATTTTTTTTTTTGACTACAGAAAGAAATTCTTGAAAATGGAGGGAGGGTGGTATATTATCATGAGTTTGATTCCTGAAGTGAACTAATTATTTGACATCTTATTCATTTTGAGCACTAGAACCTTTAAAAGCTACAAACACAAATCGTTTTACTATTCATTATGTGTCCAGTGAACAAATAATAGCGAAAGGACTCACTTTGTCTAGCCTTAATGAGTCCACCATTAGCTCCTCTGTCATGTTTTCTGGCTGACTTAACTTGCTTTACTTCTTTCTCCCGCTATGCTGATCCATTCATGCAGTTTCTTCTCGAGATCTCGTTTGATCAGAATCATTATGGATGTTTGCCAGTACCGGCTTTTAAAAACTGTTATGGACGGAGATCTTTCTTTTATGTATTCACAAGAGTCTGGAATGAGATCCCACAACATCTCAAAACAATACCAACACTGGGACTTTTTAAGAAATCCCATGATCGTCATCTGATGGTCAACTATCGCTGTAGCCACTGAGATAGTAGCCTGCTTTTTTTCTTTATCTTAAATGTTTGGTGATTGTTTGTACTGTGTTGATGGATGAGATGTTTGTCTGTTTTTATGTTCTGCAGAGCAGGAACCTGCTGAAAAACAGCATTCATGCTGAGTCAGGCCCGATTATCTTTTAATCTTTTCCTGTTTAAAAATTAAAAATAAATAAAATAAATTATCAGATTTACCCGTGGCTTTAAATTTCACCTATGGTGAAAAATCTACTTTTCAAGCTCTTTGGACAGACATTTGTGTAGGTATAGTGTATAGGCGGTCATATTGGGGTGACATGAACACACCGAGTCCATTTTTATTTTCAATAAACAACACAAAACGGTGGACTAATTGGAGCGTTTTCAGACCGACCGCAACTTGACGTAGGAGTGCGGTCCCGCCGCCCACCGATTTGATTGACAGCTGTGTATTAACATGTCCCGGTAGTCACATTTATAATCATATCGACAAGAGAAGACGAGCACAAAGCAACCAGGAATAAAAGGTCTGCCCAGTTTGCTAGGGTCATCAATCATCATCAAATGTAATCAAGAGTGAGTTTTACAAGTTTAAAATATTTTAAATCAGTGCATGTTTTTAATGAATTACAGCGATTTACTTCAGCTTTACTTTATCAGCACAGCCGCGTGTCAGAACAATTATAAAGGAAGACGCTTCAATCCCGGTTTGTGGACGTTAAATCAGGTTTATTTTGTACACTAACATAACAAATATCCATACAGCAGTGGAGATTAACCTCAATCCTGTCACATTTGCGTGCAAAAAGAGTGCAAAGCTAAACGTGCGTTGTCTATGCGTCTGTGCTTGTCGTGTCCGCGCTGTGTTTGTGTGTGTATCTGTGTTTGTGCGCATGAACTTTGTAACGACATTGTGTGTAACTTAACACAATAAATACATCAAATGCTCATTGGGGAAGTTCTTACTATAGTATTTCTCACAAACGCTATGTGAGATCTGCTTCCTTTAAGTCTGTCTGTTGTGTGACGCACCCGAGGGAGGAGATTAATGCACGCAGAAAGGCACATAGAAACGGTGGGTGGGGAGGACTAGCCTTAAAGGCTCAGTACAGCAAAACTGACACCCAGTGCAAAAATGTATAAAACAGAATTTTATAAAAGGTGTAATAAAAAGTCTGATGGATGTTTTGAGCTGAAACTTTACAGACACATTCTGGAGACACAAAAGATTCATAATTAATCTGAAAAAAGGGATAACCTAGGTGTCACGGTCGGTGAGGGGAAAAAGGAGCAAGGACCCGATTGCAGATAATGAAGGATTTATTATGAAATACAAATAAAAATAAAAGGCAAAAACAAACTACACCGAGGGGCAAAACATGAATAAAAAGGCAAAAACAAACTTGACAGGGCTGGCAGGACAAAGCAGGACTGGAAACAACAAGACAGAGTAATATCGACGATGAACTGGCACAGGACAGAAAACATGAGGGGATTATAAAACAAAAGTAAATTAACACAACAGATGAACATAATTAACTAATAATGGGTTAACAAGTGGGGTGGGACTAGACAATAGATGGGAGAGCGCATGACAGAGACACGACATGCTCACATAAAACAGGACAAGAAAATGCAGCCAATGAGAGAACTCATTAACTGCATGTTCATGACAACACAAACACAACACTGAAGCACACGACAAAAGCATGTGACTACAATGTAAACACATAGCCACGTGCTCTGACAGACGCGAGACATGAGCACAAAATGAATGAAAACACTCACCGTGCACTCACACGCAGCGTGCATGCTTCATCCCAGCGCCTACCAAAACCGAAACCAACTAGACTGAGACGCTGGGAATGACACGCAGCAGACAGACGAAAACACAAACACGAGTACAAGAGCGCACACAGACACAGAAACAGGATCAGGCTGGAAAATGACCAGCTAAATCCAGCTAAAACCAGCTTTACCAGCCTGGTTTAAGCTGGATATAGCTGGTTTTTAGCTGGACTCCCAGCTTGCCTAGACTGGTCAAGCTGGTTTTAGCTGGTCATCTCCCATTCTGACCAGCTAAAACCAGGCTGGAAATGGCTGGAAACCAGCCTGGAAGTGGCCAAAACCCCTCTAAAACCAGCCTGGTCGACCAGCTAAAACCAGCCAACCAGCCAAGGCTGGTTGAAGCTGGATTTTTCAGCAGGGTCACTATGCCATTATTTATTTTCACTACCCTCTTACTCTTTCAGTATCAATTGGTAGTGAATTCCAGTATTATGACAACACTACAACAAACACAAAACAGAAAAACAAACAAAACAAAACAGAGCAAATAAATAAAACGCAAAACAAAAAATCTAGACACAACAAAACAGAACATGAAACGCAGCAGAAAACACAATAAATTGGAACATAAAGCAATGATAGTTTTGTGAACTCTGTGGGGGTTAATATTCAAGTGTCCTCACTTCAACTAGACTCTTGACGCTGATCTGAGGCCAGTATGAGCAGTCAGAGCAGCGCAGATCCACTTCAGCACATCCAGTCAAAGAGCCAGGAACTTCCCCAGCTTAAACTCAGCCTGCAGCACTATGAGACCCAACCAGTGAAGATTATGTCATGATCCGCGTCCAGCAGGACCACGGGATTCATCTTCTGCACAGTCACATTTTCGCTCGCTCTCCTCATGGAAACTCACCATTGCAGAAGCAGAGATGTAATGTTTTTTCATTTTATTTCGCAGGGGATCTTCCCGACTGGTTACGTCCACTTAAAGAAGGCCGTCGTCAGTAACAGGGGGTAAGTGACTTTATTCTGAATTATATCACATTGTTTTTCTCAGTGTTATGGATGAGGAATGGAAGAGAACGGTTCACTTTTTCACTTGTTTTGATCCTGTGATTCTTATGATGTCTTGTGAGATTCATCACGAGTCTAAAAGCCTCAGGTTTCGCCTTTTTGCATTAAATATCAAATTTGGGCAACAGAAGTTATCGAGCTTGTTGTGAAGCATATTATTCATGGGATTCAAGGGATTTGATGGACAATATAAGAAATTTGATAGGTTATAAATGTGTTTCAATGTGCACCTGAGTTGTTGATGTGTCCTTGCATTTTCACTGTCACACATGACAAAACTGAATATGTTTAGTACTTTTATCACTTAAAATGCAGTGAATGGTTAATCGTGTCTTTGTCTTCCATCAGGGTATTTATAGAGTCTTAAAATCTCAAAAACAAAAGGCCTTAAAAAGTCCTAAATTAATTAATTCATTTTCTTTTTGGCTTAGTCCCTTTATAATTCAGGGTTCACACATTTGAATAAACCGCCATCTTATCCAGCATATGTGTTACGCAGCGCATGCCCCTCCAGCTGCAACCCATCTCTGGGAAACATACACACTCATTTACACTCATACACTATGGACAATTTAGCCTACCCAATTCTACCACATGTCTTTGTGGGGGAAACCGGAACACCTGGAGGAAACCCACGCGAATGCTGGGAGAACATGCAAACTTCATACAGAAACGCCAACTGAACCAGCCGAGGCTCAAACCAGCAAACTTCTTGCTGTGAGTTAACAGCGCTACCTACTGCGCCACCGCATCACCCAAGTCCTAAATTTACAGAAATATTGTGTTGCAGGTCTTAATTTTTCCTTTGTTCGTGTATGGCTGCTCAATCTGGCAACACCCATCCCATCACCAACAACCTTCTTCAAAAAACTTTTTATTCAAAAGTGTCAACGCAATGGTAACGCTATTTACTAGGGATGTAACGATATCAGAATTTCACGGTACAATAATACCTCGGTATGAATGGCACGGTACGGTATTTAATTTACAGGAAAAACAAAACCAATAAAAAGACTCGAAAAAAGTGCCAAAAGTGTTTATTTACCTTAGCACAGAACATATCAATAACATACAAATTAGCCATCTATCTGTAAGTTTGGAAACAGGAACTTCAATTTTTCAATTTTAATAACAAAAGACTATTAAACCTTTTAAACCTAAACTATTAAACCTAAAAACTATTTAGTTTTAATTTAGTATTGTTGAAAACTCATCACATTCAACATTTAATCAGTCACTCACTTAGATAGAGATGGGTTTTTCTTTAGGAAAATTATCATATAACTATAATCTGGTAAAAGCTGGGATCTCTGGGCATTTACAATGTCCCCTGCAACAGAAAAAAACCCTCTCATTTGGGACTGAAGTTTCTGGGACAGAGATATATGATTTAGCCAAGGTTGACAGCAGTGGGTAACACTGTGCATTGTCTTTCCACCACTTGAGAGGACAAGCCATGAGTGAGATAAAGGTCTCTTTGCGGTACAAGTCAATGTCTTTAATCTAACAAGTGTGCTGTGTTCTACAGTCCCCATGACTGTTTTTAGTCGTATTCCCTGACTTATTTTATTATTTCACCACAGTCTTATTATTATTTCACCACAGTCTGCCTGTGCCTGCATACTGTTTTTTTCTTTGTCACCTTTTCTCCTTTTTCGTATCTTTTTAGAGAGAAACCGAAATGCTTCCACACATCCGATTTAAAACCTGCTTTAGGTTCCATCATTTCCAGCTCTTTTTCTTCCCCGCTACTAGCAACACACTCCATTTCTGCATTATTGGATCTGTAGTGACAACAGACTGCAAAGGATGATGGCCACGCCTAGGCTGATGGGAATTGTAGTTCCCGCTCATTCGCCTCATTCGCCTAAGCACACATTTCTCAGAAATATAGATTTATTGAGTCATGCGCCTACGGTAATATTGAAAAAAATTACTATTGCGGTATGACGGTATTTACAATATTGTTACATCCCTATAATTTACCATACTGGTTTAATCATTTTCCTTACCATAATATTTGTTTAAAAGTTCTCAATGTATTGGACTTGAATTTATTTTCAAAAAACTTAAAAAAAAAAGGTCCATTTTTATTATTATTATTAATTATTGTTTGCTAAGTAAAATATTAAATTGTGTATGGAAAGCATCGTTGATGCACCATGATGCATCAAAAAAATCGAATTGAACCGAATAGAAGTTCACACCCCCTAAGTGTTTGGGTGCGCTGCATTTGTCTGGAGGTAATTAGTCTACTGTTATTACCGAAATGTGTATATTCCATACAAAGTATGAAGCGGATAGGTTAGTTATAGTGACATGATGGGGTGTGCTTGTGGCATTCTGAAAATGTGAGATTTTTTCCACAAGGTGCGTCTGGAAAACGGGAGGAAATTGGAAATAATGAACTTGTCGCCATAAAATACATTAAAAGTAAGAATTATTAGCCCCCCTTTGATTTTTTTCTTTTTTGAATATTTCCCAAACTATGTTTAACAGAGCAAGGAAATGTTCACAGTATTTCTGATAATATTTTTTCATCTGGAGAAAGTCTTATTTGTTTGTTTTTTTCCGGTTAGAATAAAAGCGGTTTTTAATTGTTTTTAACCCATTTCAAGTTCAATATTATTAGCCCCTTTGAGCTATATATTTTTTCAAAGGTCTACAGAACAAACCATTGTTATACAATAACTTGCCTAATTACCCTAAGCTGCCTAGTTAACCTAATTAACCTAGTTAAGCCTTTAAATGTCACTTAAAGCTAAATACTAGTGTCTTAAAGAATATTTAGTCTAATAAAACGTGCTTTTAAAATGAGTTATTAAAAGTATTATGATTAGAAATGTGCTGAAGAAATCTCTCCGTTAAACAGAAAATTGGGGGGGGGGGATAAACAAGGGGGCTAATATATATATATATATATATATATATATATATATATATATATATATATATATATATATATATATATATATATATATATATTATACAGTTGAATTCAGAATTATTAGCCCCCTTTTGATTTGATTAGATTTTTAAAAATATTTCCTAAATGAGCAAGGAAATTTTTACAGCATGTCTGATAATATTTTTTCTTCTGGAGAAAGTCTTATTTGTTTTATTTTAGCTAGAATAAAAGCAGTTATTAATTTTTTTATACCCATTTTTGGGAAAAAATTATTAGCCCCTTTAAGCTAAATTATTTTTTTGATAGTCTACAGAACAAACCATCGTTATACAATAACTTATCTAATTACCCTAACCTACCTAGTTCACCTTATTAACTTAGTTAAGCCTTTAAATGTCACGTTAAGCTGTATAGAAGTGTTTTGAAGAATATCAAGTAAAATATTATTTACTGTCATCATGTCAAAGATAAAATAAATCGGTTATTATAAATACGTTTTTAAAACTATTATGCTTAGAAATGTGCTGAAACAATCTTCCCCTCCATTAAACAGAAATTCGTGAAAACAATAAACAGGCGCGCTAATAATTCAGGGGGGCTAATAATTCTGACTTCAACTGTATATATATATATATATATATATATATATATATATATATATATATATATATATATATATATATATATATTCTTGAAAAGGCTAAATACTTTACAATGTTTAAACCTTGTGCTTCTCTTTCCATTTTTATGAGATTTTGATACATCTTGATGAGGTATTTTAATATTAAAGTATAATCATAACTTCATTGTAGCTGGTTTCTTCCTATCATCTCTGAAAGCTCGTACTGTAGATTTAGCATTTTAAACGTGACGAGAAGCTTCTAGAAAGTGTGGATGTGGATGAAGAACAATCCTGAAACCAGAACACTGCTTCTTTCAGTGTATCCTGATTAATATAGATGTAGCTTGCGTGTGTTTGCACGTGTGCGGTATTAAAAAAAAAAATGAGAGAGAAGGGGAAACAGTGAGCATGAAAGCGAACAGAGAATCTGGGGTCTGTCTCTCCCTGAGGGAAGTGACTTCTGAAAGCAGCACATCAGGGACTGCCATCGACAGCTTCTTCTGTTTGTCTTCGCTTCTGATGTTTTCCTGCTTTGTCACAGGTGTTGGCACCGCACGCAGAACTTCAGAGTCTCCCACAACACTCGCGCGCATGCAAACACACGGCTTTATAGCGTGCAGGAATCATGCTAAAGTAGATCCCAGGGGTCGTGTTCAAGTCTTAAAGACACACAGACAAGTCTAGTGGCTGGAAATGGGCTTTTTTACAGTGTCTGCTATAATGTTAATGTTGTTTTTGGTGTGTTCACATTAATGAATATGTCCACTGTGTTAATGCACAGTAAAGTTACGATCTTATTGCCACATTAGATCGTTATGATAACATAATACATGGCTTCAGTGATTTCCTGAAGATAAATACCAAATAATAACATAACCGGAATCACTACAGTAGTCGCCATCGTCTGAACTCATATGAAGCAAGAGATCGGGATGACATATGACGACGTGTGCAGGTACTGTAGTGCTGTCCCAATTCTTACCGTACGTTCACACCGAAAGCGGCGAGAGCAGCAAAGTAGCCATAAGTCATTCAATTTCAATGAGAGCCAGCGGCGATAAGCGGCGAGGAGCAGCGGGGCGCATCTTCGCCAGCGTGAGCGTCGAGGAGAGTTAAAATGAAGTCAACTTTATGGTAATGAGCTATGACGTGGTTCGGCGGCAAGCAATCAGAATGAAGACGTCCACCGCTTGATAGCAGTTCAGAGAACACAGACCTGTGAACTTTGGTTCCGACCACAGTTGTTCCCGAAGGTTTGATTATTGCGGTCGCCGGATTTCCAATTACATTTACATTTAGTCATTTAGCAGACGCTTTTATCCAAAGCGACTTACAAATGAGGACAAGAAAGCAATTTACACAACTATAAGAGCAACAATGAATAAGTGCTATAGGCAAGTTTCAGGTCTG